TAAACTGTACCAAATGATTTCTTTGTTCAGTATTAGTCAGAATATATGCTATGCCCAGTGGTTTCTGTGTTCAGTATTAGTCAACATGTAAACTGTACCCAGTGGTTTCTTTGTTCATTTCAGTATAGTCAGAATATAAACTGTACCCAGTGGTTTCTGTGTTCAGTATTAGTCAGAATATAAAGTATACCTAGTGGTTTCTGTGTTTAGTATTAGTCAAAATGTAAATTGTACCCAGTGGTTTCTTTGTTCATTTCAGTATTTGTCAGAATATAAACTGTACCCAGTGGTTTCTTTGTTCATTTCAGTACATGTATGAGTCAGAATATAAACGGTACCCAGTGGCTTCTCTATTCAGTATAAGTCAAAATATAAAGTATACCCAGTGGTTTCTGTGTTTAGTATTAGTCAAAATGTAAACTGTACCAAGTGGTTTCTTTCTTCATTTCAGTATAAGTCAGAATATAAACTGTACCCAGTGGTTTCTTTCTTCATTTCAGTATTAGTCAAAATATAAACTGTACTAAGTGGTTTCTTTCTTTATTTCAGTATTAGTCAGAATATAAACTGTACCCAGTGGTTTCTTTCTTCATTTCAGTATAAGTCAGAATATAAACGGTACTCAGTGGCTTCTCTATTCAGTATTAGTCAAAATATAAAGTATACCCAGTGGTTTCTGTGTTTAGTATTACATGTAGTCAAAATGTAAACTGTACCCAGTGGTTTCATTCTTCATTTCAGTATTAGTCAGAATATAAACTGTACCCAGTGGTTTCTTTCTTCATTTCAGTATTAGTCAGAATATAAACTGTACCCAGTGGTTTCTTTCTTCATTTCAGTATTAGTCAAGATATAATCTGTACCCAGTGATTTCTGTGTTTAGTATTAGTCAAAATGTAAACTGTATCTAGTGATTTCTGTGTTTAGTATAAGTCAAAATGTAGACTGTTTCCTAGCGGTTTCGTTGTTCATTTCACTATCAGTCAGAATAAATCTGTACCCAGAAGTTTCTGTGTTCAGTATGAATCAAAATGTAGACTGTACCTAGCGGTTTCTTTGTTCATTTCAGTTTTAGAATATACATTGTACCCAGTGGTTTCTTCGTTCATTTCAGTTAAAGTCAGAATATAAAGTATAGCTAGTGGTTTCTGTGTTTAGTATTAGTCAAAATGTAAATTGTACCCAGTGGTTTCTTTGTTCATTTCAGTATTTGTCAGAATATAAACTGTACCTAGCGGTTTCTTTGTTCATTTCAGTATAAGTCAGAATATAAACTGTACCCAGTGGCTTCTCTATTCAGTATTAGTCAAAATATAAAGTATACCCAGTGGTTTCTGTGTTTAGTATTAGTCAAAATGTAAACTGTACCCAGTGGTTTCTTTCTTCATTTCAGTATTAGTCAGAATATAAACTGTACCCAGTGGTTTCTTTCTTCATTCCAGTATTAGTCAGAATATAAACTGTACCCAGTGGCTTCTTTCTTCATTTCAGTATTAGTCAGAATGTAAACTGTACCCAGTGGTTTCTTTCTTTACTCCAGTATTAGTCAAAATATAATCTGTACCCAGTGGTTTCTGTGTTTAGTATTAGTCAAATGTAAACTGTATCTAGTGATTTCTGTGTTTAGTATTAGTCAAAATGTAGACTGTTTCCTAGCGGTTTCGTTGTTCATTTCACTATCAGTCAGAATAAAACTGTACCCAGAAGTTTCTGTGTTCAGTATTAGTCAAAATGTAGACTGTACCTAGCGGTTCCTTTGTTCATTTCAGTTTTAGAATATACATTGTACCCAGTGGTTTCTTCGTTCATTTCAGAATTAGTCAGAATATAAACAACGAAAAAGCTTCTATGACTCTTAAGTAAACGAACAATTAGGAAATCGACGCAAACCTGATTGAAGAACAGCAAACAGTTACAAATGGAACACTGCACGAATGCGAGACATTCCTGGCTTCTTTGTCATTTGGGAAAGCACTCAATTATATATCAAAGAACAAATTCTAATCAAGAATTACCCATGTTAAGGACACATGCTGCAAGCAAAAAATTGGATGAATGGATTGGTTTATTTTTTGGGACTTATTTTGGTTGTAAGTGATACAAATATCAAATTTCTGAATTATGAAGAAATTGTAGACTTTCTCTGATGTTCAAATTTCTTCCTTTTTGTCATCACCCTTATAAATCTATGCATTTTTATCACTACAATATTGAAAAACTTTGAATGAAAATGAATTTCTGCGGCTTAACAGTATTATTACTCTTAACTTATTCATTTTACTTAATTAAACATAGATTTAATTGTTATTGTCATGATTTTTTTTAAAAAAAAAGTTTGTATCATCCTTAAATACCGATCAAATTTGAAAATGAAAATAGTAGACACAACTACTATATATGCCTTTAATAACACATGTGGACAAAGTTTGATCTAAAATCCCTTTGCCTCATTTTTAGACTATACATAACTATATATTGATGCTATACGGGGTTTTTCTGCTGGACTCTGAATCTAGAAAAGAATTTATAATGCTGATTGCCTAAACACACTTTTTTAATGGATTGTGTGGTACTCCGATAAGCAAGCCTTTATGACTAAATACGTGTAGGGTGTACCACACTTTGTACTTTCGTTCGGCACTTCCTTAATTTTCAAATTAACGTGCATTATGCAAAGGCCTTGAAAGTTTGCTCACTGATGGCAAGTCAATAAATGTATAGAGAATGGCTTTAATCATATTAAACAAGGAAAAGTGCGGCATTCGACATGCATGTGTTGAAGTCAGTTAACTAAATCAAAGACTGACCTTTGGTTTTAACAAAAGTAGGCCACGGATTAAGAGTTAGACTTATCTTTTACTTCGACATGTCTGTGTGATAAGAATTTACCAACACATTGCGAAACAATCTCACGAGTATCGGCATTCCTTAAGATACAAAGAACAGGTAACGGATGGGGAGAAAAAATAGACAAAACTTGGCTTCCAAGATCTACAGAGCACTTCGACACGTGGAAAAAAGAACCTGACAAAATCATTCGGAACCAATCTGTCAATGGAAAGAAAATATAAGAATGAATAGAACCTAACAATTTCTTTCTTCACCACTGTTGTAGAAGGAACTGCATGTATCCTGCTAGGAGTTACAGACCCCATGAATCACAAAGGCATACCACTTTACTTACGTTTAATTAAAGTAATACTTTGCTCCATTACAAACTCGTATATTTTATCAGGAAATCACAACGCCCCCCTGTGGGTGATAATACAATCGTTATGTCTTCTAATTGTCTTTCTTTGTTGTGAGTTATTCTCTGGTGAAGTCGGACTACCAATGTGCAAAAAACTGCAACCAAATTTACTTCAGTTATCACCGATTATGATTGACAATGACAATATTATGTATTTTTACCCATTCTTGCGTCAGAGGTTTAATTCACTTACCTCGTTCGCTACAAATACCCATGGTGCAGTGTTCTTCTACAAAATTGAGATTGTCTTTCTCTAAGGTTGTTGCAATCGACCCTTATAAAACCAGGGGCATAGGAGAAAGGATGCTAATACTGAAAGTGGGAAAAATCTAATTCTTATTAAATGGACATACATGTATTTTGAAACGCACAAGGTCTGATCTCACTATACTTTCAACATTATACCGGTATCAATAAATGTTTTACTGAAAAATTACAGAACTTTTCCTCGATGATTATTATGATTGAAAAGTTTATTTGTCTCTGTTGCTTACTTTGCATTCTCGAATTAAACCTGACGACTTTTTGTAGAAAATATTATTATATTCCAATAAACCCCATCGAGGAAGCACACTTTCCTTCAGTATTGCGATATTTCGATGTATTATCAAGTTCCCATGAAAGACAAAGGCACTCACATGATTTCCCATTTATTCGAAACTACATTGAACAATTGAATAAATTGGATATTTACCTATAGCTCCTTCTCCCTGCAAACATTGATTTTATTTTAAAAAAATCAATGATAAATTTGATCTACTTTATAATCAGAAAAAAAACATTGTAAGAATGTTCTAAATTTTGTAAAATAGCGTCTTCTGAAAGTATCTGGTCCTAAGGGCTTTGGTCATTATTAATGAACTTTTAATAAAACATCAGCTATATCCTTTTCAAATTCACTATGAAACCTACATAAAGGTAATCACATTTCCCTTCTTGTGTATATCAGACTATGAACATGTATCTTTAGGTTAATTATACGGTTTTACTTTGCGGATCCAATTAAGAGAACGTGAGAGTATTGCAAAAGTGATCTGCTGGAGTAATGGTTATTCATATTTTTTGTTTAATTTTTATATCTACCGTTCTACGACTTTATTTTTCTTAGATCTCATCAGAAATAACTTCTAACCGGAAGAATTTTCCGCATTTCTATACATATTTTTCCAACTTTTCATCATGCCAATACTCTAATATCAAAATTTGTTTTATGAAGTAATATTTTAATTAAACAGTCTTATAGTAATTACCTTAAACATCTGAGAAAAATTTTACCTAAGCGATAGAAGAGCCCTTTTATCCTTTAAACATTTCCCATAAATGTATGACAACTTCTTTACAGGTGGAAAAGAGTTGATTGATTAATGATTTCGACATTGTACAGTGAGCACATGGGAAATTTTTATTATGGAAAAAGACTATTTTACTTCCCGAGCAGGTGTTGATTTCTTTAAATGTCTGTCTCTTCACTAATTTTCACATAAATGTCTATCAGCTGTTTAATTCATCAATTAAAATTTTATCGAGTATACACTCAATAAAGCAATTTCTCTGTGATAATAAACGATGTAAGTCAAGTTTTTTAAAATTATTTTCGTGACATTCATTTCTTTCTTTTTTTGTGACCCTCCGAAGAACTGGGTAATGAAATTTTTCACTTCATTCTCGTTCAACTGAATGAAGTGTCAATAACTGGATGCTCATTTACATGATTTAAGTCCGTTTAATAATAATAATGATAAAAAAAAGGTAAGATTTTGTTACTCTTTTATTGTCAACAACATATCTGAATGTATCAATATTAAATATAAAACAAATAGAAACATGACAGCGATCGGGACCTCATTTTTTTTAATTTGCATAAAATGCCTATAAAAAGCGTGATTATACTTAGCTGAGCATGCGCAAAACCAAGTTACTTCAAGTAATGAAATAAAATTACAAATGATACACTTGCACACTGTAATTCTGAATTGAAGGAAGCAAGCTTGTCATGTAACAATGAAGAGTTAGTGTCCCACATTTATCGATTAATCAGAAAAAAATTCATATATATATATATATATATATATATATATATATATATATATATATATTTTAAAGAATGCAAACTTGAGATTTCAAGGGAGAAATATAAAAAGACAGAATACTGTTTGTGTAATAAATATATAACAAAATATAACAAATACTGAAGTAACGAAGTCTTTTCATTACAGGCTCTCAGATCAGAGCTACTGTAGGATTTCTTGTGTTGAAAACTAAATGGGGTGCATTACAGTCACAAGGAAACTAGCTAGGTCTTTGTCCGAGACATATTATCATCAATCCCCCAATAATCTTCAGGCCAAATGTTAACATTCTTCGAATATCAGGATAAAGATTTCTGATAAAAATATCGTCTTCCTGAAATGCATCGTTTGTTAACTGTTGAAAGATTCCGAAAGTGCCAAATTCTGAATTCATCATATTCTTATCTTATTACACCAAACATGATTTCGTGTCAAAGATCATGCACATATTTACAAGACTTTAATAAAGATAACTAGTTTAACACCGGCAGCATCTTTCACTTAAAAATGAGATTATTATTACTGAACATTTACCCCTTTTTGTCTACCTGTGGCGATAATTCATGAAAAAAATCTAAACAAATATAGCACCAAAAATAATAGATTGACGTTTATAAAGTACATTTATCATTGCACTGACAAACTCCCATCCATTCATCCAATGTCAAAAAAATGTTTCAAAGCACTTTGTAAGTATTGTTGTACATGTGATGCTCACAGTAAGATCAGAATGTAACTCGGCAATGTGATTCAACAAAATGCCGAAAAATATCACATTTATATACAGAACATCACAGCCACTTTGAAGTCTCCTATTCAACATCTATGAGTTATATAAATTAAATGAAATCAAATAAATAAACAAGCTCACTTACATTCGCTCACTTATATTTGTCATGTAAACCTTCCCAGCTTCTATTTGAAAACTGATTGACAATAATATTACGTAATCTTTTAACATACAAGTAGTTACATTTGAGACTGATTACTGAACCATAATTTCTAAATAAGATTTTTATAAATTTAATAAAAACTCAGAGCAATTTTTTTTCCATAATTTAAAGAAAAAATATTGTTAAAGTGAGAAAATAGCATTGTCAAAAGTTGATTATAATCTGTCACACAATGTCAGTATCAGTAGATCATAATGTCCAGCATGCAATGTAACAAGCTGCTACATAAAAAAATCCAGTAATCACTTATAAACAATGCTGCACCTTAATAATTCCAAATAAAATAATGACTTTTTCTATCAACCAAGTATAAACATTCAAACGCATCCTTCTTGCACACGTCACATCAAAATTCTTTTCAACACGTTTTTTCAGTTTTTATATGTAAACTGTCATATCGTAAGAAGAATTTTGAATTTCCATTTCGTTTAACAACAACATCAATTGTGTAATTGCTATTTGCTTTAAGTCCAGTTATAGTTTCACGTAACAATTGCTGGTTGTGATTCTTAAATCGTTTGCAAAACACTAATTCACTGGCTTTGTCAATTTCATTGGAACACTGGTCATGCTTTGGTCGAAGATTCCGTTCTCCCTCCGATAATTCAGTCTTATATATACAGAATTTCTGTCTTTGTGTTTCCCCTAACCAGGCAATTGTCACATTTTCACACGTAGAATTGAGTGTCGTCACTCTTGTGTCTTTCGGTAACTTTGGAAACCTATATTTATTTCTCTTAGTACTTAAAGTGAATCGTATGTCCCCTCCTCCTTTTTTTGAACCTTTAATTTTAACTGTGTAAGTACCTTTCTCGAGGTCTTTGAGAACAAATTCTTTAGAACTTTTTATTCTCCTACTAAACACCTTCTTCTTTTTATTCCGTATTTGAAATCTGATTTTCCCACCACACACATGAACACCTAGCAACACTTCCTTGGCGGGTTTGTTCACTCTGTATTCCATTGTCAACAATTCTTTAGGTTTTGTAAATTTGTGTTCTTCAATTCTACCATTTTTTATTCGTCCTTGACGCTTTCGAGGTTTTCTCGGTTTAGTCCTCACCAATAAACTTTTAAATGCGCTGGCTTTGCCAGTTTGTTTATTATATACAAATACATTCACAAAGTACTTTCGTCCTGGTCGAGCTCCGTTAAATGTGTATTTAGTTTTCACTCCTAATACTTTGTAAGTTATTTCATTCTTTTTTGCCGCTTTGATCGGATTGGCCTTTTTCAGAAACTCACGCTCACGATGGATTTCATCTGAAAAGTTAAAATTTGGCGACGGAAGGGGAGGCCGTTGATCACCCTTGTAATGAGACATTAGTGAACAAAATGTGTCAAAAGAATGTTTCCTGTTCACTGCTATATGATACTCGATTATATTGTCGAATGGTGTTTCCTCTGGACTAGATTGCCATTCAACAGTAAAACTTTTCCTACTGTGTTTCTTAACTTTGACTGTGTGGTCTTTTGGCAATTTTGGATAACTTTTTATTTGAAATCTATTAGAACCATATAGATGCACGTACGTATCACTCTCGAGAGGTCTAATATTTATCGTATATAGTCCGGGTAAGCCTTTATTGTATTTGAAGCTGTGGAACCCTCTTCCTGTATATTTATGAAGAACAGTTGGCTTTGGTGACGATTTCGGGGGATCTGTAAGTGTAAAAAAAAAATGGCACTATTATAAAACTGTAGAAATACATGCAGATCATGCAAAAGATCAAGGATCAGGGAACAATAGGTTTCCCAGATTATGATTTTTTAAAAGTCGTAATTAAACTCGAGTAGTTATGATGAAATCCCCGTCTCTTGAAAAGTAAGAATGGTGTGGGTCTGAACCTTTCTGAAATAGGAAAATGTGAAAAGTGTTTGCATCGCAGATGATGAAATTTTTATTCAGAAAACTTAGCTGACCACTGGTTCTTCTTGAGTTAAAAGGCTGTGTAATCTTTATATTGTAAACATTGTTTAAAACGCGACTGGGGCAAGTACCTACACAATATAGGAGAGAATGCATTATGTGTAGCGTAAACCTCACTAAGAAAAAGCCACGACTTTCCACCTGATGGGGGTCAAAGTGGTTCTAGCATAAATATTATTCTTGTAAAGGAAGCGTATTTATTATATAAGTAAAGAAAATACACGACAGACTAAATAGTTATTACTGAGCCAGTAATGAGTACATTTGGACCCATAGTAAACTAGAAAAAAGCAAATCTAAACAATAACAAGTTCATGTCTGGCTTCCAGCACGGCTCGTGTAGACAACTCGGTCATGAAGCAAAAGGGCTTATTGAAAGACGCAAATTAAAAGATCATCTTCATAATTTTCACATATGAAAATAATAACATATACTTGGCAACTCTCAACAATCATAACAGTGAACAATACGGGATGAGTAAAAAGAGATTAACGATGATTTATAGCCCACCAAAGAAATAAGAAACGGGGAGAAAACCAAGTTCAAAACGAAAACGAGTGCAGTGGTATACACATTTTAGGTGAAGGTCGCTGTTACGTCAAGAAGAAAGTTTAATGAAAATTAAAGTCATAAGGTGCTGCGGCGGACCGCCCTCCATCGTTTTACATCGTTAACATGACTACTGAGGGAGAATTGTCGGTTAATAACATCAATGCCAAACTTATTTCCTTAAGTGAGTGACGTCACATCTTCATAATTAATGATGTAATAAACACGACAAAGTCTCTCAAAAGAAATATAACATTTGAACTTGTTGAAGATTATCTCATTTATGGAACCTAATACAGATCTTTTTTTCATCTTATGAGTGTGCTACATTGCAAATGAGAAGTTGTTCTGTATTTCAATACTTTGTGCTATTAAAAAACGTGTTTAAAAGTGCAGTTTAGATTCTAAATAAGATACTTGTAAGGTTTTGATGTATACTTTCATACCTGAGGACTCACTGCTGTACTCTGATGCACTCTTGTGAGTTAGTGTCCACTCTACCGAGGAGGCACAAGGAATGACCGATAGAAAAAATGGCCTCTGATCTTCGCCCTGGACGAAAAATATTCTGAAAATAAAATTTATCGCAGTTTGGTTAACTATGAAATATGTCGTAATAAATACATGAAAATATATACAATTAAGTTTGGGGAAACTCTATGCTTCCGATATTGGTCGAATCTTTCCCCCGGCCCCATATGATCTCGACAAAAAAATGATTGGTCTCTTCCACCGAATATGGGTTTTATCCCCAGGATTTTGAAGAACTTCATCAAAATTCCACGGGCATTATCATTGAAAAGATAACTAAGTGGATATATATTGGTTTAAACATTTTGTGTGTCACTTATATTAGGTAGGATGACAAGACATATTTGTGAAAGATGAATAAATCTGTATCTAAACCCACTTTTTTCAGGTTCATATAAATTGAAAGTTTTATATAATCTGTATGCTAGAGACAATACGGCGGGTCGGAAATTAGAGCAAGATTTAGCTTTTCCTGCGAAATAAAGGAAAATAAAATCGCGCCACTCTCTAACCATTAAACACTTAGAGTACGACTTATCTTGTAACTAAAATCGTTTTTAACTAGCTGAACATTTCTTGGCATTGAGCTCCGTGTAATTGAAGTGTTTTTACGATACACTAGAAGCAATAGAAATTTGAACCCGTTTATTTGGAAGTTCACGATGTGCACTTTCATGGTGCAACATATTCAAACATTTTAAAGTTTTATATATTAAAATTCATTTATTAGATAATTGCAATCAAGGTTATTTAAGGCCATTTATTTGCGAACACAATAAGGTCCAGTTATGTTTGGTTAGTTAAGTCAATGAAGTGCACTCTATACTTGTCAAGAAGACTAAACAGAAAGCCAAATAAAGCCACCTTTTAATGTGAAAAAATTAGCTGTAAATTTCTTATATGAATTGTTAATAAAATCTTTAAAATATGTACAATAAGTGTGTTTAACTTTAAGGCGAGTTTAAATGACAAATTAAGAAAAGTTAGACTGCAGTTCGCAACTGATGTGGATTAAATTGAGAGAACGCCTCTTATGGAACTCTGAATATCGCCACTTCCACATAAATTGTCGATACATTGAGGCCAAGATTAAGTGTCATTCAAATTCCATGAAGAAGTTTTAACGACTTCAATTATTAGAAAATACAAGCAAAAAACTCATTAAAATTTGGGAACAATGGATTGTTATAAACGTTTAAGAGATTAGAGTCATTCCATTGAAGCCATAGACTAAACAAGTGGTTTGCCTTTTTCCAACTGATGATAAATAAAACCGGTAATAACTGTTCTCTCAAAGAAAATGTTCCAGAAATAATAACAATACGTTGTCTCCAGGACTACATCTTACTCTTAAACTGACATAAATATTTGATTTATTTATTTTTCAAGGATTATATTTAGAAATCTCTTTAGTACCCAATGACGTTCTCCCAAAAGTACACAAGATTGAGGGTATTCTGTCCTACAAAGAGTCTATCTATGTATATAGGAAATGATCTACACAGTCAGACAATTATTCAATAATTAATTATCTAAAGGTTAAATGATCATGACAGGTATTTAATGAATTCCAACAGATCACGTCGAGCATTTTTTTTTCTTATTCTGACATCTTTGTTTTACATTTATCTAAGTTAATCATCTGAATTATAAACTGAACGCATTACAGTACACAAACGTAAGTCTATGCACACATTGCATGGAAGTGCACCATCTCCAGGCAAAAAATACCTAGGAATATTCATAAGTTTCCTGTACATTTTTGTATATCCGATTTATTGAATTTTTGACTGAAAATGCGTCACTAAATATCCCGTTTCCATGCAAAATTTATTTAATCGCAATATAAGATTTCTTATATCTGCATTGCTTCATATTTCCTAATTTTGGGGTTTCGTTTTATATGCAGATCAAATTCTTACTTTCAAATTATACCAGGTGATGAAATGTCTTTTAGACGTCTTTATTTATTTCTTTTTACCAATAATGCACGTCAGTAGGCCTTTTGATTACTACGTCAAATTTAATTAAATCTTATTTAAAATTTAAAAAAAAAATTCTTTCCAACAGATGTTTAAAAGAAAATGAGACAATTTTGCATGCTTTTTGAACAAAGTAATTTTAGGTAATTTGAGAATGTCTAATGTACGTAAGAGTGTAACGTTATTAAGGCAAAAATGTACCCCAAGCCCCTAAATCCGACAATAATTTCACATCGTCGTGAAATTCGTGTATAGCGTTTTCGATTTCTATTACAAATTGTAACCATAACAGAATCCTGAAATATGAACATGCAATTAGCAAAATTAGGGGAAATAGACGAATTCTTCACGAAATAAAAGTGCCTTACATGGTCAACCAGTACATACAATTGATGAAGGCATTGGTCATATTAAAAGAGAACAAAAGCTGAGATGTTCCAAAGATATTTTATTTAACCTCAATGTTAATTGGTCTTCATATATAAAACGACTTCTCAAAAATCCACACGCAAAGCATATAATCTTGAAATGGTAGTGTAAAGAAGCGGTCATGCAAAGAGCTCAAATTTTCCCAGCCACCTATCTCCCCTGGAGATATTGAGGACATAGAGCAGAGATGTGTAAGCTTTAAGCATACACCTACACCACGCGAGTTTATGTACACTACCGTCAAGTTATCGAGATTGGTCTCTTGCCCAAGAAAACATTTGACTAATACTCTACCGTAATGAGAACGCATTATGTCAAGGTTTAGTATTAGCAGCTTCCCTTGTCTGTACCATCAACTTACTTCTTGTTTTAAATAAGGATCAAACATGTATTCTCAACAATCACACGGAACGTTATTCTTTATTTTTTAATACTAAGCACCGAGAAACAATTTGCTGTCTCTGAAAAGTTTTCATTCGTCATACAATGATTTTTTTCGACTGTATTTTGAAGAGTTAAGACTTTGTTTACTGCGGACAATTCCATTCGCTTTCTGCAGAGATAACCATTTATCTGTTATATTGTGCTTGCTCTTTGAAGATGCACCAACCACTGAGAAACATTTTACCGAAGTTTATATTTCAGAGGCATACGTTTTGTTTTACAGCGCGGATATTTCGCTAATCATCGAAATACTTAGTTACCACATTAAGTATAATCTTTCTATTTTCACTCACTCGTTTTCGTTAAACAGACGTGGATTATATAACATTAAGTTAACATTAAGTAATGCTTTTTGGGGGAACAATTTCTTTGAAATAACTATTGATGATATTTTGATTGCTAACTAAACAAGGATTTCAGGAAGCTTCTTAGAATTGTTTCTTTTAAATGAAGAATTCAATTTCAGAAGTCACAATTTAAAGATTATCTGCACAACATTCCATCTGGAATTAATACCTGCTGAAATTCGACTTGTCAATTTGTAACAAGATTGTATATTTCACTTTGTCGTTTGTTTTAGTGAATTCCTGTATAATAAAATGTCTGAGAAAGCATATATCCTAACAAATTCTCCAGAGGCTTTCAAGAAGCGTCAGAGAGCATGAAGTATGGAATTTAAAAACATGCACACAAGAAAAAATGTCAACTTATGCCCCTCACTATGTCTTTATATAATACAGATTATAGCCTCTGATTTCAGAATTTGAAACATTTACATGAATATATGGCTTCCGGTCAAATTTATGCTAACATACATGCTATAATCCCTTTAATTCAAGAAAAAATGCTTACTCATTGGAAAGCTGGACTAGAGGCTATGTGTGTAATACATGGGTATGTTTGAAAGGAATTAAATATAAATGTTTAATGAAACGGTTAAATATAAATAAATCAAAATTATCTTCTACAAATGGTTTTATTACTTGCACAATGCTACAAAAAGCAATGGTTTTCAAACAAAACACTCTAGTAAGGTTAAGCTGTAAATTTCAGTTGGGTTGATATGAAACTTTTACTTACAAAAGATTGTTTCATCCTTGCGTTCCAAAAGAAAAAAAAAAACAAACATGCACGCAAATGTTTTATTAAATGAAGCGCATTAAATTGCGTGGCTAACCAGTATAGTTTACATACACAGAAAGCCGAAAAATTGGTTTTAAAAAAGCCACCATGGAAGAAAAAGCAAAACTCGAAGTATAATAAGGTTTCATGAAAAAAGCAGAGATGTGAATAAAGCAACTACTTTCTACCAGCAAGGGACTAATAAAACAGACTTCAAAATTTACCCAAATGACTGTATTTCCAACCTTACATTTAATGATCTAAGGGCATACTTACAACCTGCAAGTAAATATATACATCATTACTGGCGAGCAAACGGGGGCCAGCAGGTTTTAAAATTGTCAGTTTTTGTCATGAATGAAGAACATGCTATTTTTGGATGTTTTATTCTCTATAATTAACCAAATTAATCTTTACAAGAATGCAACGAGCCTTTGTTATTTGTTATCGTTATTTCTTCCAAGCCACTTATCATGTTGCAAAGTTTGTTTTAGTTTTTGTTTGTTTGTTTGTTTTTGTTTTTGTTTGTTTTTGTTTTTAATTTTTGTCTAAATATAAAAGAACAAGCACTTCTAATTTGTAGCAAATAATACAAAATGTCAAGTGAGGATGAATCAAAGATGACAAGTTTAACTCTTTTAAATTTTTAAACTCATGAATAAAGCACAATTGGAGACAAGGATGAAACTTAAAAAATCATTAGAATTCCAAATCCAAAAAAATGATCAAATATCTAGTACTAGTATTGCGAGGAACAGTAAAGGGCATAAGTTGGTATCTGAGCGCTGTGTGAGAGGACTTACTTTTCTGTTTTGTTGTGAAGAAGGTATGCTTTCACCTCCTTTTTCTCTGGGAGAATTTTGGAGTGATAAAAGTATCGGGTTTCTGTGTCGCCAAACGTAAACTCGTCCTCCGCCTGCACACCCAGTGTTGTATACAGAAGCAACAATATTATATATCTTGCCTTATCCAGCAACCGTGGCATGGTGGACCTAAAAAGACATCAACAGGAATAAATTTTGTGTAAGTTTAAATCTTAAAACCGACTGCTCAATTGTTTAACGGAAATTTTAAATTAAAATGCATGTTTAAAAAAAATATTTCTAAATGATATGATTTGATTTGATATTTAACAATATGCTGTCGATATACATGGCACAAGGAGTTGTTTGTATTTTCCATTTGGAAAAAAATTGACAAATGAGTACTTCTTAAAGATGTGCTTTTGAATAAAATTATTTATGCAATTAGACATCAATAAATGCAACACTTCATTCAAAATGATAATATAAACTGAAGTCAGTGAAATGGGCTTTGTTTTCAAAGTAATCAACATGAGATAATATTTCAGTATTTTTTTTAATTCATATCTTCTACTATCTCAATGAATTCTCAAAAAGCGGTGTATGTTACATATTTCTACACAGCAGGCATTCTCTTCTTAAGTCTGTCGGCAGCAATTGAATGAACACCGAACAAGAGGTAGTAGTAATTAGTTAATTGTGCAGTGAAAGTTAAATGAATGACAATGCTCCAGGTAAATGGAGCAGAGAAAAAAATACATATAATGGTCAATGATAATGTTTCGATAGATCTGTATACAGTTTAGATTTAGAGAAACAGGTGGTCCATTCAATATCAGTGTACGAAAAACTAATCATCTCGATATACAAGAACTGCCTCGCTTCTGAGGAGAAAAACACGAACCTCGGGGGATCACAATTTACCATCCTGCAGCTATTTATCTATGCAACTGCAAAAAATGATGTCTTGTATAGCCTATGCTATTGTTTCTGTGTCTTCAATTACGCTGCTTTTTTGTTTAAAGTAAAAAAAAAATGGATAGTGGTTGTAGAAAAACCATGTGATGTACAAACATTCACGAAGAAACTGCCATTAACCCCCTTCTTTACAATGAATATGAATGAAGAAAGACATTATTTATAATTTATTTAAGTGTCAGCTACGCGAACCAAAAGTCATTGGTTTATACTCTATTGTCGCAGGTTTTTTTATTCTGATTAATTATTACTGTGTAGGTAAGAGAAAAGAAGGAATACCTTAGCCTTTTATTTCAGGTCATTGTTGCGTTCTCCGCAAATACATCACAATGTGGTCATTCAAAAATTGTGTGCTATAAAAGCTTGATAAATGGACTCCACTTCGAATGACACATTGAAAATGTAAACTTCCAAGTATGAGCACATATTTCATATTGAACACAAATTTAAGAAAGTCGAACGAACTATTTTTAAACATCCTGAATCAAAACAGTGTTGAGAGCTCTCGCATGACAATTGGATGCAAGAAAATTTTGACGATCGTATGAGGCGATAAAATTTGTCATTAATCTGAACTAATTTCTTGAAGTGGAGAAAGTCGGCTGTAATCCGCCCGTCGACATCGCTTCACTGCTGCATCAGCTTCATCCGTCAAGAAAAACTTCACCGATACTCAGGTGGAACAAACGTCCAATTTTTTCACAGATTTGTCTTGTCACAAATTGCTTTACTCGTGCAAGCAAAAAAAAAAAAATAAGGAATCAATATCGTAATTCCTTGAAAAAAGAAGTTTATTTCGCTGATAAACGATATGATCTGATTTTTCTAAAATCCGTGGTGGGTTTATTATCTCATAAAGTGTTAAGATTTAATCCAATCGCAGAAAGAACATTTTCGAAAACCATTCTTTATGTCACAAAAGCACCACCTCCTTTTGAAAAGCACATGTTTTTTTTTTTACTCCAATTGTGCTAAAAAGTTATAATCAATGCTTACAATAAGTTCTACTTTCGAATCCCTACCTAAATACAATGTACAGAAAAAATCCGAATTTCGGGTACCATTTTTATTCTTCTTAGTTTTAATTATGCAAAATTAGAAGTGTTTTACCCCAGGAAAGTAATTATTGAAAAGCTCATCAAAGATAAATAATTGATAACTTACAAATTACTATAAGGAGAAGTTTCCACATGGTTGGCGTTTCATGTTCTAGATCAAGCGAGGGAATAGCGCGTGAAAGCTCCCTAGTACAGCGCCTCTGTTAAGTACGAGGCGATTGGTCGGACAGAAAGTTAGTGGGCTGTGTACAAACTACGTAGCATGCATAAATGAACAAAAATATAAATCTTCTAGCACCTATTATTCCATTTTCATTTGCCTTCTAGTTGCTGAGGGCATGCTAAAATTGATTAATACTGTATTAGAAGTTTAAGAATCGAAGATGTAGAAAAAAATTCATTCCCTATTTCTTTTCATTCATGAATCGAAGTTTTGTTCATTTTATGATTTTATTTTATTTTATTTTATTTTTTACATTTATAAGACTTAATTTAAAAACTGAAAGCACCAAATAGAAAAAAGATTATATACAGTGACAAGCCGTGGTAACATGTGTACATCACTGTGAGTAAAATCATAAAGAACCAAACTCTTGCATTGTTTTACATCTTCTTGGGTAAGAGTATTGTTCACCTGTTTCCAAGACGACTGGCCGACGCCAGAAACGTCAGGAGGAGGTATAAACAGCCGACTTAGCCGTCTGAGTATAATTAGGGTACAATAAATTGATACGCTACCACTGTTTTGACGCTTTAGATTTGTAATATACACTTGTAATAACACTACTGAGTACTTTTTCCTGACTACACGCCAAAGAGACCGTGTGACCTTAGGTGGTAAGGAAGAAATCTTCCTGACCAGCAGGGAAATCTGATCGCTGCTAAACCTTTCATTGAAATGAATATCTCACTGATGCCACACCAAGTTAGTTTCCACCCCGTAACATCAAGTAATGGGGGAAATGGCGCCTGGTTCAAGAGGAGTTGAGAGGTCATAGGAAATGTGAGCACTGTTTTTATTGAAGGACAAATATACAACTGGATAACTTATTAATTAAAGAAAGAGCTGTTTTAATTATTTCCATGATAGATTCTCTTCGCTCTAAATAACATTAACATGTCTTTAAAATAAACGCATACTAAGAAAAAGCCGTAAATCAACAAAACTCGTTGATTTAATGAAATGGGTAAGAGTTTTGTCAATGTTAATAACATTCTTGACAAGAAAATAAATTAATTATACCGTCATCATATATAGGTCCATTGTTGTTAAATTAATTTTAATCCTTTTAGATGTATGGAATATTGTTTATAACGATACTTTAGTGAAGACATTTCGTGTAATATTTTGCATGATTAACACTTTCGTACAAGATAACGCACCCGATCACAATACAAATGCATTTTTCTCAAGGTTAAGCGACAATAGAACCTTCACAATCGTACTATCAGTGAGAATACTTCACATTTTTGTTAGGACAACTGAAACACGAACTTTGTCAAACCAAGATATGTCAAATTTTGCCTTCAGATATTATTTAACGTTATGTTGATTTTATCTTTTAAAAGTTATTGTTTTTCCTCGTGACGTGAACGAGTGCATTTTTTGTTTGTATACAAACCACATTAAAGAAAGTGTTTTAATGCTTGTCACAAAGCTAAACAGTTTAAAATGAAATAACTAATGACTCTTATTCAAGTTTTATTTTCTTAGACGCAAAATAAAATTTAGAGGTATTCACTTATGAAATGAGCGGAGACTAATAGTCGTAATAGTTGTAATACTGATTGGCCATTGGAGAAAACAGGTTTTTTAATGGTCAAAGCATTTTTTTTTTCACATTATTTATTACGAAAGTCAAAATGATTTTATTACAATAGGTTTTCACACTTTAAGTGCTAGAGTCAGTGTAATGTAAGAAAAAAACAATTCGATTCATATTCTTAAGATATTGATCAAGGTGTATTTTCCATAGGATATTACATACGAATCATACACATACATTGTAAAGGCTGTCAAAAACCTCTACAATACGGATAATAATATTTGGAAATAATGATTTGGTTTACATAACTTGATTTTTAAATATTGCAGGCATCGTATGACGAGTCCACATGATTAATGGCTACTCTGTCATATCTTTGCGTCATAAAATCTGTGCAAAACCTTGCACAAATTAAGAATGTGTCAGATATTTTGAAGCAATCTTCTGCGTCTGAAGTCTGGGATTGAATCATGGAGTTGTCTAATTAGTCTCCAAACCAATATCCATTTACAAGACGGATCCATTTACAAGACAGTCTAAGACCAAGTAATCGAAGGATTTCCCTTAGAATTAGATCAATTTATAAATAAATAATTCATGCATCATTTCTGTCTATGGTCCATAATCTGCTGTCACCCTCGAGGATTCTTCGGCGAATTTGTAGCAAGCAGCTAATGTACTATAGTCCAATTCAACACGTAATTGTAAGACCAAAAAAAAAAAGAAAGAAAGAAAAAAGAATAAAGAAAAGAAAAGGAAAAAAGGGGGGAAAAAGCTCTAAATAAAAAATTGTGTTCTTATAGAATTTTCCATCGAAATTTTTTCTCCTTGATTACTTATATGGAACTTCTAGGAAGCAAGTGTTCAAATAAGTCTAAGATCACTAGTTCAATGTATTATATATGTTGTCGTGACATAGTAAAACATTTCGGTCTCTACAGAGTAACTGATATCTTGCATGCATGAAATTGACTTGGGCATTCTTAAAACACGATCTGGTTTCATTCAACCTAAAAATAAATCCCCACTTTTCATATTGTACCAGATAGTTGGAGGATGATACGGGTAATTTTGGTCATGAATCACTTTCTCCAGCGTCGCGATGTCTCTTTTGCAATTCTTGTTGTTAGTTCAAGGCAGTGTGTCTACTCCCGCAAGAAACGAGAACAGCTTGTATTACACAATTCAGTGTCTAAGTTCTTGTTTTTCTACATGGTTGTGGTGGTTCCACATTGTGTAAAATTTGGACTCTTCACTATCGACCTAAGTTAGAATCACCAATTTGAGCTGTAAGGTGTAATGGAATTATACAATCCAATCATCCTCTGAAGAAGATTTTTTGTTGGCCCAATGATGAAATCTTATGGTTTATTGTCAATAAATAACTTTCCGCATGATTTTCCGCTAAAATTAATTTTTTGGGGCTTGCATGTCTCAAAGGCATATGCTTTATCGGGTATTTCTTCTTTCTTTTCAAAGAGCATCTTTGACATTTATAAGATTTTGACTGGAGAGTTGAACGGCTTATTAGTCGATTATGATAACGTTTCCGTTTGGAATTGACAAGTTCCGTAACTTTTATAGATATCGAGTTCTTCTTCCGCGTTAGATTTTCTTCAAACATAATATACGAAGCCATGTAGCACATGTACTTTAAACGTGAAAAAGTAGGTATTTAATTTACTCTATATTTTTCAACACCCGTCAAAGAAAATATTTTCAATGAGAGATGCTCAAAATATCTTTAAAAATTTAAGAGTGAAAATTGATGTATAATTTTTAAGAATGTCAGAAATTTCATTTTTGAAAAATGTTTATGCTACATCAAGAAGGAACTTGAAGTGGGACAGATGATAAATGTATTTTTCATCATTTTTACGTGGAATGTGAACAAACTTCCACAGATAAACTTGCAAACTAAGCAGCCAAATTGGGCAAATGATTAAGGAATACCATTCCGCCTAGAAAATGACGTAATTATACAAAAAAGGGTAACAACCCCTTAAACAAAACATAGTTGAACCTCATCGTTTTATTTTGTGTTTCATCGATAAAGTCTCGATACATTGATTGATTTTGTGTCTTTTAGGGTCACCGTCAAAATTTTAGTGTTTTCGCTTTTTTGCCATTAGTTAATATCAAATTGTTTCTTAATTAATAAAAAAAAGAGCAGTCCTTGCCATCGGGTCAAATGTTCGATTGAAAGTCCAGAGTCAATGTCATATTTTAAAATGGTTCTCTTCTAAGCTGAAAGAGACTTTACTTTGGGCAAACATGATTTTAGGGCTTTAAGAAAGATTGGTTTTCACTTTCAACGTCAAGCAGATTTTGCAAACTTTATCATTTTGTTTGATGTAAAATTTAAAAGCAGAAGATGTAATGCTTTGCATTATTATAGAAGGTGAAATAAAGAGCTTTTGCTGATTCGCAATACTTCATCAAATTACATTTGGAATGATGCTTAAGCATTTTGAGGGATTATATTATAAACACACACATATACATACATACATACATACATACATACATACATACATACATACATACATACATATATATATATATATATATATATATATATATATATATATATATATATATATATATATATATATATATATATATATATATATAGTATTAGAAGTATACAAAATTGCCATGCCTAATATATAAGCTAATCTAGGATTGCTTCATCTAGTTTGCATTTATTAGAATCATGTATCATTGGTCACAAATGTGTGATTCCTCATTCTTCTTGATTAAACTACCAATTTTAAAAATAGCTTGCATAATCTTTGAGGTGAAATTGCTATTGAATTCATGTTCATATGTCATGGGCACTGTTGTAGAATTCGCATAAACAGTTACATGCACAGATCATGAATGTTACTTCTACGAGAGATCTATGATTTTAATGAGATATTTATTTTCTTCATTTTTTTGAAATTTTGATGACGTCCCATTATATTCTCATTCTAAAAGTCTTCGTCTTTTTATTGTTTATAGTTAGTGTTATCCACCGTAGAGCAATACTGGAATACATCTTCCATAATACCAAAAAAAATGTTACTCCAAACAGGGCACAATTAATACAAATAAACTTAATTTATATGACAGTTCTAATTTTCAAGGAATACTTTTCGTATTTACCAGTAATTTAATGAGTGTAATAAATGACAAGTTTTGGGTACCGTATTCGATGCAAAGCTGAAGCAATTATCATAAGGCGGTAGGAGGATTTGAAAAGACATGCTCAGAGACAAAGTCAGTCTTAGCTTTAAATGTATGCTTAATGTCGAAGTCGAAACACTTAACACAGAATCAAATTTCAGAAGTTTAGCTCAACTTTTTTTAAAAAAAAAAATTCCTCACAGTATTCAATACTAGATGATGAAATTCAATGTTGCTCACATTTGAAGGCCCGTATCTTGGTTCCCGAGCCGCTGAATCTATCATTATAATTGCCGTTTTCACTCTTCATGCTTTTTTTACACGCTGCGATGCCACACGAAACATTTTTGTTCCTATTGAATACATTTCATTAGTTCAGATTTTGCATTGGATTTGAGATTTCCAGATTCCCCCATTTTCACACCGCTTGTTTTCAATCAACCGTAGCGACTACATGAAAATACAACTCCTGTGAAAGACAAGGGGCATATTGGAACTCCAAGGAGGCGAGCTTAAGGATGCTCCTTATTCTTAAATATCACTGCATTATTGAGGTTACAGTGGTTTTTCTCCAAAAAATAGCTTTGATAGCCATAAAACAGTGGGGCTTTATAAATATGAACATTGTTAATAGGTATAAAAATAACACTTCCCAATAGCATTGTTACTTTTCTCAATTGAAAGTAGTGAATTCTGTTATATAGTCTACATTTAAAACGTGCTTCATGGTCTTTTCAAATTTACGAATTCGTGAATTAAGATGAATTAAATAGGAAAGAAAAAAAATGTTGGTACGATTGCAAAGGAAGCAAAAGGGTTTAGCGCATAAAATTGAAATTATGAAACAACGATACAGAGAAACAACTGTGGTAGGTAAAGTTAAAGGACACATGTTCGAACTGACTTTTCTGTCCTTAAATCAATATATGATCGAGTCGAAGTGTTTGTTACTTTGTATATATTTCTTTATCCATACATCTGGTCTATAAGTGATCGCTTCATTATTTCCAAAAAAAAAAAAATTAAAGGACTTACTTGAACTAGTGAGCCAGTTTTGCTCGGAAAGGCAATACATTGTATTCAATATATCCTTCCATGAAAATAGATAACGCATATGCATAAGTCCTGTTTATGAGTATAAAAAAGCAACCATGTGCAAATACCGATAGATCTGACATCAGAAACCTACCGGCATCAGTTGCGCCTGCGTTAAAAGGGCACCATTTCTCACGTGATCAACATTGGTACGTAAAAATTTATAGAAGTTATCAATTCGCACAGTATCCATTTGAGTCATCAATTTCTCTCAGATTATGAACAAAATATTAAGATGGTAATCGATATCTGTCTGACCAGTCTAAGAAGGCTGATTGGCATCTGACCATTGATCGACCAGCGCCTGTTCTCCATGATGCTCACCGCAGACCTTTTGTAAAAGATCATCTTAATAGGGGGTACTTGTATTTTTGGACTGTTATTAAAGGGCGTCATTTATGTTTACAAGAATTTGAACACTCTCAAGCATGTTGAATCGAGAGCAAAAGTGCCTTTTGTAGCTTATTTCAAACATGACTTGCGAGATCAAAAGGTATTTAATGTAAGCATTTGATTTAAAGTTTATCAGCCACTAACGTCTTAAGTGTACACCGGATAATGTCATCTAGCACAGTATATAAACAGTTATGTCACGGGTAGTCTTTCGCGATCGATACATTAGTGGAATTCCATACCAAAGGATTACTATTCAATGCAAAAACCGATTTCTGCAATTGATATGCTGCACCGACAAAGATCGCGTTTCAGATCCAATATCTAAATATTTTAAAGCACTAGTGAACATATAAGTATATTTTAGGGCTTTTAAATTTTGCTATTTGAAATTGAAATTTTATTTTTATATATTGTAGGTCTATGGGCTTGCATTAAAATTTGCAGCTGTTTAATCGGCCTGTTATTATTTATTTATTACACGTAGTTGACACCACCTGTTCCCTTACACATTTATTCTAGACGTTTACGCCAGCACTATGTATATCTCTAGCTTTGTCGAAGTCTTGACATTTTGATATTTGATAAGCCGAGAGGAGGTGACCGAATCAAGCTATTTTGTTAGAGTAATTAGAACGGATTAACAATATTATCGTGCTAAATCTGTCATTCCATATGATATCAGTCTCCCAATTGACACACTCGGGAATTCCAAAGTCAGGTATAAACGAAAAACACCCAATGCCAATACCTGTATTTGACAACACTTAGGCCTTATAAAAAGCATGTAAATGATCTTGCACATTTCAGGAATTTCAAACGTGTAAAGAGGTTCTTTTTTGGTAGTGTTTACTTAGATTACATAATAATCTCCTACCTTAGGTTGCGTCATCTAAAATTTCTTGTGGCTGCCATCAAGACGTCCAAAAGAAAAAGAGGAAGTCATCACTGTATTAAAATCATCAGTACTAACAGATGCTGGTCATATAGTCTCCAGTAACAGTTGATAAGATAGTTTCAATTTTCCAATGTGCCATAACTAGTGTGTAGGTTGAGGCTCTTCCGGTTAACACTACGACATTGTCCATTTCAGAAATTCCATCTTCTTTTGGTGACTTTGGGGGTTGGCTCTATGAAAAAAAGAGGAGGATTCAGTAAAGACATATTGTATCATGTCACATGCACCGTCAGTATGAGATAAAGGCGGGAAAACAATGACTAATGTAAATAGTTTTTTTCTGCGATATGATTTTATCAATAGGATTCATGTAATGCCTATAATTATTTTCATGACTTCACGCAAATGGAAAAAAGGTGATTTACACTTTACATCGACCCAGTTTTTATTTACAATTTGAAGAAGAAAAAAATATTTATAATAAATATAAATTAAGGCAGAACCAGATAAAAAATAATTCATTATTAACAAAAAAAAAATACAGACTCGTTGATCTACATAGAAACAAATTGAAAGGGAGGGGGGGGGGGCTAATTGAAAGAGAAAAAAAATTTCAAAACTTGACAACCAAGGAAAAAAAAGGAAAATTGAAAATTGTCCAGACCCGAAAATTCTATTTCGTGTGTGTGTGTGTGTGGGGGGGGGGGGGGTTGAACTCTTTCAGTACCAATACATTGAAAAAAAAAAGTGGGGGGAGAGGGGCTAAGCCCCCCCCCCCCTTCTGACGCCTATGTTCCAGGAGACCCTACAAAGGGTAGATCTTCAGGGGTTCCCATCGCTATTCCGTATTTTCTTGGTTCCCTTCCCTATTCCGTTTTTTCTTGGTACCTTAACTTTAGAGCATCAGTGCAGCAAGACATCATGTTGAAATCTATATCTTGAAGGCCAGTCTCTTTTTCCCAAAAAACCTTAACCTTAGGCTTTAGCGTACACAAGGTCAGTAACACTGCTATAAAGAAGACATCTATTTGTTTTATAAACGTATCACTATTCACTAATAATTTAAGCTGTCTATGTATGTAAATAACAGGCAAAACCAAATTGGTTTCAAAGCCATTTCGATAGTACAAAGTGTTGACGAGGGCGTGGAGTATTATGAACCATATACCACAAGCCATAGTAATGATTCCAAAATAGCAGCTTGCTGGATAACAAACCAGTAAGTCCTAAAGCCGTGGTTTCCATCTTCACCAATGACGTCACGTATTAAATGTTTCTAATTTTATGTTTCCGGACAAACAAAAGGTCAGAAATCGTGGGTCCCATGTTGAAAGAGCCGCCATCACTTTAATTAAGAATTGATTGATTATCCATGACTTCACAGATTTCCATTCATCGATATTCAGCATAACAGATCCGATTCTGGTCCTATGTTCGGGTTTTATTTTGTCTGAATAAATATAAATTCACTTTCCTGGGATTTATCTGTTGATATAACAAGATATTACAATGTCTTTAAAGCCAAGAAGTTAGAGACTTTAAAAATCTGACATAAATTGGATTAGAAATTTAATGATATTTTGGAGAAGTTCCATATCAATATATTTATGCACGATCTCTGAACGCCTAATTATTTATATCATTGTGTAAATCCTTATCTTCAAAGAATACACATAATTATATGCAATAGCATACAGTTCAAAAGGAGTGATATCGCACATCAGCCTGCATGACATCTAAACCTGTAGTATAAATATTATTAAATTTGAAAATTTTGACGATGGAATGACAATTTGAAAAAAAAAATGACTCGGCATATTTGCGACCAAACTTTAAAATGAGAATTCAGGTCAATCAAACATTAGAAATTCAATTTGTAAGGAAGTAATAATGAAATGTCTATGTCATTAATTAACAGCAAAACAATTCACGGAAGAGACAATTCAATTGTTCAACATGTCTTCTGTTCAAAATTCGAAGCCTCTGGCATCAGTTAACTAGGCATTCATGGCCCTTAGATTTACTATATATGTTTGAGATGCCTTGTATAGCTATCACTCAAGAACTATTGATTCACACGTTCAGACTTTATTGTGTTTGTGACATTAAAAACAAACGCATGGAATTTCATTTATTGTTCAAAACATGATATGTGAACCCTTCAAGAGTTTATCTATATCGGGTTATGATTAGCAAGGGTTGTCTCATTCTTAAAGTAGAGGCTTCCTAGTAAGACACCGTCAAAATCCTGGATCAGAAAGATGGGAACTATCAAAGGTTCCCAACATTCTTAAGGTTAGCGGGATTATTCGAGGAGGGTGGTATCCGGAGACCCATGATTAATATGAGATTGTGAACGATACATCACAAAGAGCACAAAAAGCAAAACTGTAGATGTTTCCAATATCCCCACAAAATAATTGGTCCGGTCTCCTCGGCATGGGGTAGAAATGTGACATTTTTACACATCTCCTTATCAAGGCGGAGATATAGAAATATAATATAAGTGTATTTTGTAACAATATCGGGTATTATTTGGATAATAATGATGTATTCAGAGAGATTGTTACGTAGGCCGGGTAGGATGACATAAAGCATTATAGGCGTCTTTTCTCCTTCTTCCAAATCACCTTGAATTACAAAGTACGATTTTAAGGAATCCCGCCAGTTGCATGCTATGTGGAGGGGTTTAAATTCCTAAATAGGGATAGGGGTAGGATGACGGATAAACGCCAAAATTACCGGTTACGCTTTTTAAACCGAAGGAGAATGACCACGCTTCATTAAGAAATGTTACTAAAATTACAGAAGATACACGTTACCAAAGACAAAAATAGGGACCATTTTTTTTCTCATTTTCATGGTTGTCACCTGATGAAAGGTAGTGTGTTATTTTAATAATCAATTATGCTATGGAGTACAATTTTCTCTCGAAAGTCGAGACACCTATTCCCATACACACGGGATAAGAGATGTGGTGAATTCTGAAAGCACGCAGTCATATCGTTAGGTTATCAAAATATGAATCTGCCACTCATTTCTTTATAAGCCTTTTCTGACAGCTGGAGAACATTCGAGCTCTTGTTGCTAAAGACAGCTTTTTTTTTGTAGAATTTATTTGATGTCAACTAATGATATTAAGTGTCATCCCTGTGTTTAACACGGAATACAAAATAACATTTAATAAATGTACCGTGGAAAGATATCCCCGTTGAAATATTGTATAATTGTATCTTCTGATATTTGCCATTAGAGAAGTTGAAATATAGGTGCATGCCTTCCGACAGTAAAAAGTTAAATATAATTTTAAAAATGTATCGTTTTCTAAAGTTGTATGCAATTTCTTACGTGTGAAATTTAAAGAATTTGACTAAAGTTTTTATTTTGACGAGTGTTGTTAAATGGATAGACGTAATCATTTGAATATGTGACTCTGTCGTTTTAAGAATTAAAAAAAATCAACCTTTTACATCATGAATAATGAAATTTAGATATGAAATTCTCAACATTAAATAAAAGTAACAAATATTTCCTCGTCAAAATGTGTGCTTAGTTTAACATAGATAATACATTTTTTGTACATTTCTTTAATATATATAAAGCCCGGTTTATGAAGCATTGCCTGAATTAAACAGATGTTGGACCGCTATGAATACATGTTGGTAATCTCCGATCGCACGTTCCAGTTGAGTGCCCAATTCTACTCCCTGTGACAATTTCAGCTAACCGGGGTATAAATTACATAAATTTTTACAAACATTCGGACAATAACAATCTGCCTCGATATCTATAATCCTATTTAGAAGAAGTCATTCCGATTTTAACAAGTAGTTCATGTTTTTACTACGGATATCGATTCTTGCTAAGTCATGATAAGAAGTCATACAGTTCTAAAACAGAAATATTCTGCTGATTCTCAAATTAAGACATACTCCTTTTTTATATAAAAAAAAAAAAAACGACTCAACGATTTTTTTTTTAAAGTAATCTAAATTTTAAACAATAAAAACTCAAATAAAAAAGAGCGCTTATAATAACATCTTATCGTTAAAAGACGAATATATTTACAGGTAAACTTACCTGGTGAACTGCACATTAAAATTTCTCACATATATTCACTTAAAGTATTCCTCCATCAATACCAGATGAATGACTATTTAACTTTAGCATAGCCCACTGAGCTGTATTTTGTGCCCAAAATTAAATATTTTTAAAGAACCCATCATACTAAAACATTTATCGTAAATTGACATTTTTCATTGTGCCATTTATGTATTTTACTCCCACCGAAAGGCGGGGCTTTTGTTTTCAATGAAAAAAAAAAAAAGAAAATCGCGCCAATCTCTGAATCTCAATATCCCGCTTAAATTGAATTATATTTACTTCAAGGTTTGCGTCTTGCATGGAGAGGAAAGGGCCACAAATTACTTTTCATTGTATAAAAAAATGAGCAAACAATGTTGTATTTGAAATCTGAAAAAAAATGAAACAAGATTGAATCATTTTCTTGCTGTATATACAAATAACACATGCAACGTTTGACCGCACTAACCTGTACGAGTTCTCCTAAGGCGAATTGTCCGTTTTATTCCTTAACCACATACAAGGGCGAACTGGGGACCCTCACAGCGAATAAAGCACACTTGGAATTGAAATATTACTCCACAATTAAACCAAGGAACTAATTTATATATGATTCATAAAAATGATTTGAAAGACTCCGTCGATCTAGTTACAGAGAATCCACGACTAACTATGGAGCAATCAGTGCAGATTCATCAACCTGGCTCATTAGATGTCGAAGGCTAAACTGCCAACTTGGACTCCTCTGTCAATAAATACTCTATCGACGTTTAAAGTTTGTTGCTTTTTAATTTCAATATTTATTTATTGTTATTTAAACCAAGAAAACATTGCCTGCATACCCAACACGAGATATTCAACAGTGGCTAGGGATGCCTTCTTATTTTCACGAAAGAGTTCAATACAGACAAAATCAAAATATCGGCATAGTATTATCAATTAATAAACACAAGAAGCCATGACAAATGATTTTTTGATTTTGTGATCGACCTTATAACCGACATGTATTTAATTAAAGATCATCAAATACTCATGTTTAACATTTGATTAAACAGAATTCCCCGCGCTCTTCTTGAGACAGAAAGAATGTCAAGAAATATCAAACGAATGTATATGAGCTAATTTGGTGACAGCGGACAATTTTATAAACTAATTGCTTATTTATTAAAGACACCATTTCTTATCAGAGCGTACTTTTGCATTGACAATCATTAGCGAAACAAGAATGCTAAAGCCCCTCCCTTGCAGGTAATGTTAGTCTAGAAAGAGACAAAAGATGTTTCAGACTAATCAAGGGCGCATTCCAAATCGCTTTAAATGTACACCCTAGTAAACGTCAAAAAGAAAAACGTCAAACAAGGGAAGTAATTCAAAACTAGATCCATACAAGGTCATTTGCAAAATACCAGAAATACCAAACAGGCATAAAATATGGTCCCCGTGAAGGAAAGACCGCACAATTTGATATCAAAGTAAATATTGTCATATCTACACACATTTTGGTTGTCACTTGAAAGTTTTATATCAAATCTGATTTATTATTGACACAAGTAATCCATCTAAACACTCTGTGATAGCTTTAATTCATTTTCAATACCGATCATCTAATGCTTTTACAGAAGGGGTCCTTCATTTCAAGAAGTTTATTATAAACATTTAATCCTGTGGTATGTTTTTGAAAATGCTAACAATGTGGACAATATTGGCTTCCTGGAATGGACTAAAAATACACACTAGTATCTTAATATATTTATAGAAGTATATTTTGCAATATTTGAAATACACAGCTAGAAAAAAATAGCGGGTGTTGCTACTAGACAGCGAAGAAAAGAATTACAGGAAAAAAAAACTCATAGTACAAGGTCTTGTTTCAACGTCATGGTTTCACTGTTACTCGTTTTACCTGAATTATCTTACCGACAAAAGCTTAATCCATCCCTAATACCGTGTTCTTTATAATAAATGTATGTTATACGCCTTCTTTTCTTTCTTAAATGATGTTTATCGCAATCAAAATCTTTACGGTTAAACAGTTCATAATGTTGTCAGTTATTGTTGCTGCTGCTGATGATGATGATATATATATATATTCTTCATCACCAACAACTTTATAATATTATGCATATAAATATATATTAATTTCTTCATTTATCATTTAGATATTTTGTGGTTTCTATAAAAGCACTTTTTAAACAGTGAAAAGCTGTAATTTATCTATTATAAATAAATATGGTATTTTTCACAGTACTATTTTTCTCCTTGAAAAGACTCGAGATTTTCCTTCCCTTAAGGACAGTGTTAAAAATACCCCTCTTATAGGATGTATTCAAACCATCCTGACACGGACTTTATTTAAAAAAAAACTGCTGAAGTTTCTCCAATTTGTTGTTAAAATCCATTGTTTACATTTTTCAATCTCAAAATTGCTTAGCTATGACGTCTCTCACAACTGCTCAATTATGACATCATAGCTTACGACACTTCGCTACGAAAAAAATCAAAGAAAATGTAATCAACGTTTTGTAACTGGATATGGAATTTATTTCATTCGTGAAATTTTATATTTTCACTTCTAAACTCGAGAAAAATCTTTTAAAAAGTGAAGTAAATTTCATAACCAACTACAATACATTTAATATCCTCTTATTAAAACACTTTCAAGCGATCTCTACACCTACATGTGGCACACAAAAACTATTCTCTAGAGTCTGTTGGGCGTATGAATACAAGAACTACTTAGTTTTACAAACACAACGTCTGCTTACGAGTAATGTTGACTACGTCACAAGCGTCAAACGTCGCAACGTCATAAGCGGAAATCCAATAACGGTCCTTCGAAAAGTAACGGTTGCTCCACCAATTCAGCTATATTTCCGTGTATACCCAACTCCTCCACTGTAAGCAGAAAACACGCTGCGCTCCTCTCTGAATTGTTCGTCAATTTGTTTTTCCCTTGTATCCCTTAGATTTTACCTTAAACATTATTTTTTGAACTGTTAACAAATAATGCAGTTATCGGGATTACAATCCGTCACCCAAACGTTTTCTATCATTGCATTGATTTTTGCAATTTGTTTCTTGTCCTCTCAAAAATAATATAATATTAAAAGATAGTTTTTAATGATTTAAAATAGAATGTAATTGTATTAAATAAAAATATTTACATTTCACATGTATTTTGCTTATAAAGCGTGAGGAAAGCTACGGCATTCATCAACCATAACACGGACAGGGGGTCAAAAGGTTAAAGTAGGCGTTTTATTTTTACGTCACAAACGTTGAGCGTCGTTGAAATGCAATATCATAAGCGAAAATCAAAATTCACGCTCACATTGAACAGAAGGCTGTTGCAACGACTCTTCCATTAATTGTAACTTACCCGAAGGATAATACAGGGATTTTGAAATATAAATCACATTTGCAATCAAGGCAAGGAGTTAAAAAATATAAATATAAGCACTGAATCATTATTGCAACGGTGTGCTGACGCGCGTTATGAAAATTGGTTTGCACACACCGTTGCAGTTATAAGACTATATCATTAAAAAAAAATCATGATTCAATGCTTAAGTAACAACAGCAGCAAAAATAATATTAACATAACGTCTTTCGGCTGCAATAACGACGTATTATAACATTCTCCCCAACGTGCAGTGCATAACTGTAACAGCAAATGTAGACGAAAAATAAAATATTCAACATGGTATGTCCAGTGATTCCTTTGACATCAACCTTCCTAAATATGGCTGACAGATGCAAATAAGTATATGGTGTCACCTATGTCAGAGATATCGATATGATATACCGCATAGGTGGAAAAGTGCTTACTGATTTTACAAAATATATGTAGATACATTAGATTCGGTGAAATAACTAAATTTCTGACGCATTCTTGAATGGACTGTTATAATGTCTCGATATTTGAATGTAGAAAAATTATATCATAATCACATTCGTGTATAAACAATATGGAGTTTCCCGAAAGTGACGGAGATGGGGGTAGTGACGGAGTTGAGGGGTTAGACGATACAAGTAACAAGTACGGTGTGTGGCATAATTTATTCAAAAAGGTAATATTTTATCAATACACCATATATATATATATATATATATAGATCGGTCCTTCGGATGAGACCGTATAAACCTAGGCCCCGTGTCGCAGTAGGTGCTGGCACGAAAAAGATCCCTCACTGCTCAATGACCCTAAGTGCCGAGTATAGGTCAAAAATTTTGCAGCCATCCACTGGCGTCTCCATATGAGTAAAAAAAATTCGTTAAACAACAAACAAAACAAACAAACATAACTGCAACGGTGTGTGCAAACAAATTGAGTAACGCGCTTTAGCGCCTTGCATTTGCAAATGTAAATATATGTAAATTTAGGTCATATAAATACTTCATAAATATTGAATTGTAATTTTGGACGTTCATCGTTTAATTTGTTTGATTTGAACATACTTTATTGTTTAACACAAAAGGATTAGAAATAAGTTCTTACAACTTACATGTTCTTCTTTAATTACATGGACGGCTGTGCAGTCAGATTTTCATAACGCGCGGTTTTGTCGATACAGGCGTCCGTGTTATGTCAAGATGAGTGTCACCATGCTTGATGATTTGCACACATCTTTGCTAACAAAGGCTTTTCGGTCCACTCAATCACGGGGGATAGGCCTAAACCATGATTGTGTCTTTTATTAATTTTCAATCTAAAGTTGAAAATGACTACATTAACTTTAGATTGAAAATTAAAAAAAAAACAATAGTAACGTGTGATTGTACAGATTTCAGTTCTGGAATACACGTAAGACGGAATTATTTCTTCTTCGATTTACTTATATTATTTAATTTACTTGGACTTAACAACTTGATTATGATCTATAAAAAAAGTCCATGTACTTTCTTAACAAAAATATTTGTAATCTGTAAATTTGCGAACTGTTTTTTTTCTTTATCATAACAAAAGGGAAGTAATCATATCACGTAGACAAAAGGAATGTATTTGCTTTACCAAAGTGATAATCACATGTATATTCTTTTTGATTCTCGGGTTTGTGCATGTTCTTAAAAAATTTCTGATCCTCGAAATGCGTAAAATCAGATTAAAGAGCCTTAATGATTTTTACTCACAAAGATAAAAAAATCAGTTATTTGCAGAACTGATAATCTTCAAAAATCATGCACAGAATAACAAACAGTCCAAGTGTTTGATCAGCCACATAAATATCATATTATATTGATATAACAAAAAAAAGAAAGAAAGAAAAGAGAAGAAAACAAGAGAAAAAACAAAAAGGAATAAAAGTTCGCAGAATATAACTACACGCATTGTTAAAATACCAAAGGAAGGCAACCTGAATGTCTGCAACAATTGGCGAAGAATATCAAATTATCGGTGTCATTCATTTATACAAACTGTACAAGTTCAAGTTCAGTTTATTCTCTTGAAACCTTGTAAATGGTACATGAGGTACAAAGGACATATATACTCGTACATATAATACATGTACAATGGGTCAAGAGAGAGGTTTGATTCAAGTCTAGCTATAGGAAGAACACATAATTTCACAGAACTTTAAAGTGTTTGGCTTACAACAAAATTTCTGGTTTAAGAACGCTTTCCACAAATATCCAAAAGCATTACATTCTAAGAATATAATATATAATATTTATCTTCTCTTTTAACTATCGCATAAATTACAGAGTCGTTCATT